TTTGGTGTAACCAATTCATTGTATATTTTTTATTTATTCCTCACATTTCCTGGTACCGCGTATATTATTTTAAGGAAAGCTTCCGGCTGAAGCACAAAATTCATTAATAATTGATCAATCAATATCAATTTCCTGTCAGCAATTAAGGACACCAGATACTGTACATTGTTACTACGGGTGTATACCCCTAAATCGGTTCTACCTAATCCCTTATCCCTGATATCTGATTTTTCCCTTATATTCTTATCAATTTTCAATATCCTACTGCTCCATAATACTATAGGTAATCTACTCTTCTTGAATGTAACATGTAGATATTTCTCATTATCACTTTCATATTGAGTGCATGAACTTTTTTGCAAGCTTACATTTTTTCCTCCAAATATTTATAAAGATGAATCAGCAAATAATAAACCAAGCCAAATACAGTGGTCCCTCGGTTAACGAACGCCTCGGTTAACGAAATTTCGGTTTACGAATTACCTTCCATAAGAATCTTCAATTCGGTTAACGAACAAAAATTCGGTTAACGAAATTCTTACGAAAACGTTTCGACATGTTTTGGCTTGCTCACCAGCTGGAAGATTAGTCCGCCAAAACAGTAATCGGTTCTAGGGCTTACATTCGTTAAAATTGGAGTAAATATCAAGGAGGTTGTGCTATTAAACATTTTTCCAAGTTTTATATTAAAATTATTAGTCATTTTAACACTTATTTAACATAATTGCAGTACAGTGAGTTCTGCTATAACGCGTGTTTTGACAACGCGAATTGGCTCTAACGTGATTTATGAATAGAGGAACGATATTTGTATAACGCGAACGCTTGTTTGCTGTAACGCGATTTTTGCTTACTATTTCTCCAATTTTGTGGTATTAACTGTGAATATGGGAAAGAAAAATATCTCCAAGAAGCGTTCTGGTGATTGCATTCCCGGTGATGATCGTAAAAGAAAGGCTATAACCCTTGAAGAGAAGCTCGATGTTATCAACCTCAAAATCACCCTTCTCCCCCATCAAGTTATATTCATATTTTTTCAAGGTAAAGTGTTGCATTTACTGTATGATTTCATTATTAGATATGAATGTAACATTTATTTAGACTGTGCTATCCTTTGTGTTAGGCTAACTACTAAATTTTTTTCGATTTCGAGTAGTAATCTGCACCTAACCCTATTTTCTCCATAGGCCCTGTTATTTCTATTACGCGAATTTCTACAACACGATGTTTTACAAGAACACAACTATCGCGTTATAGCAGAACTGACTGTACAGGGAACTAGTTTTTGGTGTGCCCATCAGCCACCAAGGCCTCAGTTTGTATCTCTGTTCAGTGGAGGAAACATCTTGCTTGTGGGTCTCTTGAACACAGAGTATTTTTACGTTTTTACAGTATAATTATTGGTCATTCTGAAATTTATTTAACAAATTGACTATAGTGCAGTGCAGTGTTGATTTAAAGAAAATAATCTTGAATAACACCTGGTGAAGTTAAAATTTTATTGGTGAAATGACAGCATCAAGCATGGGGTGATTTCTCTTCCATCCCCACTTCCTTCTCTTCTCCTTTCTCCTTCACCCCCACTTCTAATTCCCATCATCATCAACCAGGAGCCTTCTACATACACATACACATTTTTTTTTTTACTTTCTATGTACTTTTCGGTGAGCTGGAACCAATTACCCAATATCCCATTGAAACAATGGTTTCGGTTAACGAACGACCTTCTGGAACGAATTGTGTTCGTTAACCGAAGGACCACTGTACTGTTTAAGAAAATCTAAATATTACGCTATGCACAGTATGTTATTCTACTATTTAGTTTTTGTTTTATTAGAATTGGCCCATAAATGGCCAAGCCCCTGAGATTTAAAGGTTAGAAAAACTCGTTCTGAGATACGGGCCGATAAAGGTGGCGTGAGAGCAACTCACGATTGCAGCTCAGTCTCACATGTTTGATGGGTAACTGATTCTCGTGACAACGGTCTTCTGTGGTTAGCTTGCTGAGAAAGGTGCCAGATACTGATTTTTACTGAGTGATTGGTAAGTAGTACTTTACACGAAAATATTATTATAAATACGTTTCTACAGCTTTTCCTATGTAAAAAGAAGGGCCCAATTTTTTCTACATTTTGATATATTTTGTTGTCTTGTTTCTGATTATTTGTGAGAGGATTTTTCCCATTATTATTTATTTATTTGTATATCTTGATAAAATCACACGGGGAAAGGGAAACAACGGAGCGCCTTAGCTTTCGTCTTTATTCAAGACATCTTCAGAGGCAACTGAAGATGTCTTGAATAAAGACGAAAGCTAAGGTGCTCCGTTGTTTCCCTTTCCCCGTGTGATTTTATCAAGATTTATCTTATCCACGTTTTCATTGTGGATCGACATGAAATTATTTGTATATGTGTGTGTGTGTGTGTGTGTGTGTGTGTGTGTGTGTGAGTGTGTGGCTACACACATATACAGTACAGGTAAAAGAAATAACTGTCCTTAGTGACAAACACATAAAGGGAATACTGTATACATTTCTTTGCACACGAGTAAAAATGTATCCCCAGTCAGCAAATGATATTCGCGGTTTTGGCAATTCGTGGTCATTTTGAGATCCAAACCCCCATGAATTTAAAGGGCAAGCTGTACTGTACTTTGATGACCAAGGGGTTAAAAAATGTTTGGAAATTTATTGATCAGTTGTACAACATAAAAAAGCTACTGTATTGCTGACTGCTCTTCCATTATGTCACCCTGGTGAGTCAACCTGTACCGCATTTTATGCCACATAAGACGCACTCCCCTATTTCAGCAGGGAGTACACCCTGGATATTTAGGAAAAACCTTTGTGTGTACAGTATTTTCCTCCTGTAGCCATAGTTTTCTTAAAATAATATATACAGTACCAGTAAATGTGATGAATAAATAAAAATAATACCAATAAATAAGTTACAACAAAAAATACTATTGCCACACCAGTAAATAAAAGCCCAATGAAAGTGTAACACAGTCATATACAGTACTGTACTGTACATCTGCTACCTCCGCCGATTCCCTCGCAACGCTCCCCCCACCACCAACTGCCTAGCCGTCCTCCCGCTCCCACACTAAGCCAGCTAACTCGTGTACAAAGAAATGTATATTCCTTTTATGTGTTTGCCCTTAGGACAATTATTTCTTTTACTTTTTTCACAATATTAACTGAGTAAAAATAAATGAAGAAAGTTATGTATATCTACCCAAAAATACGAGTTGAAAAACAATAGCTTGGCCCAGTAGCCTGTTTACAGACAAGTCTAACCTGGCTACAATGCCACCAGCAATGTTAACAGACACAAATGTGAAAAGAAAGTTATCTGTAAATCTTCATTTATGTCAGGTATTTGTAGACATAAAAATGAATGTTGCAGGGATGGCATTAATAGATTGTAATGCTTGTATGAGTTCAGAAATGGTTACTGCTTAGCTGCCTCTGAAGAGTTGGGTGTCTGCCGTACAAATGTTAATTGTCTCAGGTTATCGTCATCAGTACAGTACAGAGTAGTTATAGATCAACCTTTTATCTTTACAATAATAATTTTGTTAATTAATTAAAAATCTTAATCATGTTTAAATAAGGAATAACATATTTTTAATTCTGGAGTTGTGTTAGGTATAATTTAGCCTACAGGAGACAGCAACTGGGGGATTCATAAACTTATGGGAGACCACAACTTCACATATAGGACGTAGGCTGATTTTTTCTACCCATTTTTTCAGACAAAAAAGTGAGTCAAATGCCGTAAAATATGGTACATGGAGAATACTGTATACACTGTACTATACCAGAAATGTAAGCATTAATGAATAAACAGCAACAATTAAAGAATACAAAGCAATGTAAGTTGTCAAATTGAAACAGGTAAAATAATTCTTAAAAGATACTGCAGGTGATAACACTTAAAAGCAGAGGACAAACATATCATGATGGTGCATCAGCAGTTGAATATTTTTTAACCTATACAGTCAACCCTCACTTTACGCGGTCCCACATTCCGCGTTTCCACGTTTAAGCGGTGCCCTGCCGGAACTTAACATGCTCACATTCCGCGGTGCGTGTACCCCATGTTGTGTAAGCGGCGCGAACATGGTGCGCACAAGGTCACCCAGTCATCAAAACATTACCAGTTCTTCACCCGCCACCCTACCACAGCCGGCCCAAGTCAGTGATAGTGATAATTATAGTGAGGATATGGACTTATATGGACTTTGGGAGGTTTGACAAAGAGGCCCTGCAAGTCTCTGTGGTGGATAGTGATACAATTGATACAAGTGATACAGGTGAGGGCCAATAATCTGCCCTCTGCCTCGGAACCAACCGCCCATCCCCGTGTGCCCAGCCATCTTTTCTACTAATGTAAGTGTTAAAACACCTAATATTATTGATATTTCTCTTAATTATTAATTGTGTGTGCATACCATCATAAAGTTAAGATAATATTTTTACTACAACATAGTTGTGTGTCGTCAAAAGGTGGAGTTTGGGGGTCGGCCCGGACTCTATTTCAATTAATCCCATATGTTATGTTATTCACTGTACGCGTTCCTCACTTTCCGCGGCACCCTGTGGGTTACATTAACCCCGTAAAGTGAGGGTTGACTGTATATTTCGAAAATGAAAAGCCAACTATTTGGGGAGAAATTAAAATGGCATAAATAAGCAAGAGATACTGTACACCCTCAAAACATAAATACTGTACTGTACAGTTTTATGGTAGGTTAATTCATTCTTCCTCTGGTTATAACTCATTAGTCAATTTGTGTATTTCACCAGGACTGGATAGAACCTTTTGTCTGATAAGACACATTAAAGAGACACACACAATGAGATGAGGTATATTATGGGCACAATACTGTACTGTACTGTATTGTATTGTATCAGACAAAGGAAGACCAACTGTCATACAAAGTACAATAATGGGTGCAGAAAATGCTATGAATTCCTTAAATAGTTTGTTCTTACATTCTCAACTGCTGGTTGATTTGATCCATGATCGATGTGTGAGGCCGAGCAAGAAAGATAATATGAGCAACATTGCTTGGAGGAAGCTTATTGGCCGTGATGTAAAACATCTTGCAAACATCATGAGTTCGCAGGAAGGCATAATCAGCAACATGACTGAAGGCTCCTGCAAGCTTTTCATCCCACACAACGGCCTGCAAGAGAAAAATCCTTTGTTAGGTTGAAAAAAATGAGTTACAGTCTGTCAGAAATGAGTAGTTATGGAGATATGACCCCCCCCCCCCCACAAATACCAACAATATTGGTTGTATTAAGTGGGCAGGGCTTTGAAGTAGAGGAAAATTGTGAGGTAAAATCACACAAATATCTGACAAAAAGCAAAACTTCTTAACCAGAGAAACCAGAAGGAACTGACTTTACCTCCTAGCCACCCCCCCGTGTATAAAAACCTATCTTAATTAACAGATGCAGGAGGATAAAGTGGTGCCACTTGAATGATGAATTAGTGCAGTATGGTGTAAGGAAAGCATATCTTGCTTATTGGAAAATGAAAAAATTATGATACCCTACAACAATATTTCAAACTGGGTGTGTTAGCCACAGCTTCGCACACGAGCCTTTTTCTGCTCTTATGGACCCGTGAGGGTGAGAAATGAATAAAGTTCAATGGGACGGAGAATTTTCAAGCATGGGAGACACTCACCCCACACCTATACCTGTACTGTGCTTCCAAATTGTGGAGTGAAAAATACACTGAGCATTCTAGAATTCTTCATATGATGAGTACAGTATGTTTTTCCGTGCATCAGTTGTGGTGCATCTATGGTAGGGGCTGGAAGTGCCTGTGATTAGTCTTGTCAGATGCAGACGAAATGAAGCATAGAAACACTGCAGGAACACAGGCCTTCCATACGGCAAAAACACTTGAGAAGAAGTAGGTCCAAGTAGAGCCTCGTGAATGAACATGTGTCACCAACCACCATCACTACATCACTCATTTCTCCCTACAGGACCAACCTTGAGATCTGTTGTATTTTCAACTCATAATTTCAAGTAGATATACGATTTTTTATTGCATTTCTTTACTGTTACATCCACACACAATTATTCATACAGATTGTACAAAATATAATAAAACGAAATAAATGATTATAAGGTCATAAAAAGATAATGAACATTTCTAACGCACCGCTGAGTCGCCCAGATTGTGTGAGAAGGAGCTGTGGAAGAGATCTCAGCCACTCCAGTCTCCTGTAACAAAAAAAAAAAAACATAATTTGTTGTAAGTCCAAGCTAAAAAAGGTGCTGCTCCTCACAAATGTGGACTGAATATGGAATTTCAAAGCACTCAGACTCAGAGTGACTGCAAGACTTACAGTCAGAGGCATGTACAGCTGGATCTGCCTTCCATTTTGGGGTAAGTGTACAGTACTTTGTGTGTACAGGGAATATTTTTTTTTTTTTTTTATTAAAAAAACATGTATTTTTATCTAAAAATTGGAACATTGGTGTTGTACTTTTTTTTTTTAATAGATTTTTGGGAGAAATTTTTTTCTCAGGTGGACACCCCTTATCCTGGACACCCCTTCCCCCAATTAGTCCACCTTAGTGAGGTTACCATTGCCAACTGGCAATGTGGTATTTCTTTTATTTTATTTATTAGTATTTTTATTCAAATTCTCTTACTCTGTTACATACACACACAATTCATCATACAGAATGTGCCCCCCCAAAAGAAGAGTATCATACGGTAAAAAACATGGATAAACATTTCTTATGTCCACAATAGTGAGTGTGCGATTGTGGGAGGGGAGAGTGGGGTGAGGGGGGGGGAGGTAGTGGTGACTAGTGGTCAAAGGAGTGTGGTGGTTAGTGTGAGGTAGTAGTGGTGACGAGTCACTCTGTCTAACTGCATAGGTGAACAAGCACCAACTTGGGAGATTTATCGATGGAACATTAATGGTAAATAATTGATTTCTTCGGTAATGTCTGAGAACACCACTACCACCAAAAGGAATTGTTTGACTTCGTTCAGTTTTTCCACACATGTTCTTATCATTATAGTAAGTATTATAAATTAGTGACATTTACTAGAACCTGACCTAACCAACCAAAGAAACCTACCTAATCATATCTCACTTCTTATATGGGTGGCTCCCCCAGATCCCCCACCATATTAAACAGAAAGTACTTATTTTGATATCTGGTACCAATGAAAGCAACTTTATTGAAGCATCATGGTGTAATTAAAAAATTTTTGTGGATGTGAGACTACACTCAGACCAAGCAGGTCGGTTGTGAACAAACAGACGACACGCAGTAACTGCAGATTTACGTTAATTTCTTACGTGAATTTACTTTCTCGGTTAATATCCATTTGCGATGGAACTGGTATTAGAAAAAGTTGTTCCTGTTGACAAGATATAACTAATGATTATTGACAACAGACCCGTGGCCGACGTTTCATAGAAAAAGATTTTAAAAGCGCCACAATTTCACCGTTTTTTATAGTGGACACTGTTGTAGTTTGTGCAAATGTGTTAAAAAGTGGTTATTTCTATATTAAACTTCACCTAACCTTAGTTGATAAGAAAAACATGCGGCAGAAGCATTGTTAGAAGACCTTACCAACCTAACTAAACAAATCTACCTAACCTTATTTAACTTCCAAGCCGGGGGGCTCTGCCCCCCCAGACCCTCTGGTATATTAAACAGAAAGAACTTACTATGATATGGTGTAATTTTACGCTTTATTGTGGATGTGAGAGCAGCCGTTCCTACCAAACGGTTCATAAGCATACACTGAGCATTGGCTGTTTACAACCTGGGATGAGACATCACTGCCACATTACCGCCTAGGTGCCTAATTATCTACAAAACGAAGCATTTGCACAAGAAATCATTATCATATCAGAATTCACTAATGAAAATAGAGTAAGAATAAAAACAGCAAAACAAATAACTCGTCCACGGGTCAGTTGTCAATAATGACCTTATTTTAGTATTTTACCCCACATTTTCCCTCAACTTCAAAGCCCTGCCCACTTTAAACAAGTAATATTGTTGGTAATTTTATCTATTAAAATACTCGAAAAATATAAATTTCTGACGGAGATGCCATAGAAGAAAAGTGTTTTTTGTGGAGAAATCGAAGCATGGCTACCATCATCAATTGACCGTACGAGCCCTAACTTCACTTGGCTCTGCACACCTGAAATCATTAATGGTAAAATTGCAGATTACAGCAGCCAAAGAATTTGATAAAACAAATGTGTTACCTAACCAAACCTAATGTAATATATAAAAAAAAAAATGATCATTGAGTGTAGTGAATTTCCGGAATTCTGTGGTTGCTGTTTACTGCGGGTCCGACTAATTACCCAAATATAGCCGCAATGAAGTCAAATAATGGTCCTACATGAATAAATCGGACTGCCAATCACTTCTCGACTGGTATTTGGTGTCACGAAGTCACAAAAAATTGGTAAACTTAATTTAATCCGAGTTAATAGATCGAGTGCATGTACCTAACCTAACACAACACAACTCAGATTAAATTAAGTTTACCAATTTTTTGTGACTTTACGACACCAAATATGATTGGCAATCAATATATTTCATTGAAACTAATCAGACAGAATTTACTCTAACATTGCAAAACAATTAATTTATATTGAATTGCAATTTAAGGACCTATATACACAGATGGCAACATTTAGAGTATTACTTCATCAACTGAGTACAGTACATACGCCCACTATCAACATGACAGTGTATCAGATCATTCATATGTAACTACTATTACTTCTACACTCTATAAATAATTGTCTTATACATATACCTTAGTGCCAGGAATAGAGTCTAGCAGTTTAACGAGCTCTATCCTTGTTGCTTCCTTTATTAAGGCGAAATCCACTTTACCCCCAGTCATCTTCTGCACCATAACACAACACAGTAATATATATCCTGAACAAAGAAAAGTTATTAAACCAACACAAAAGCCCATAATTAATGTCAAATTTTAAGTTTTAAGACCAGAATTATTACTTAAAATAAATTGAAAATTAATATACTTTTTTGCACTGTGGAAATATTAACCACTAAGGTAATAATAAGTATATCCTAAACTATTATTTGTATTTGAGTTGAGCATTTTTAAAACTTTAGATTTCATGTAAAGGAATTTTTTTTGAAGATATGTTTGTTGAAATAAACGGAGATTATTTTTCTTGGTTTAGTCCTTCAGAAAGACCAAACAAAATATATGTACTTCTACTTCCCCCGAATACTCAACAGCCTGGGTTATTTACTGAATATTTTATTTTTTAACCTATATTCTCAACCTAACTTAAAAATACATATCAATCATAAAGCAGTATTTTTTTTTAAGTTAATTAGATTAATTCAACTGGTTCTTATTTGAAAATTAACATTGATTACTTTCTCAGTTTTTTGGCGCTACATTGAAGAGTAAAATAGTATAGATCCAGGCGCTCACCCCGTAGTCCTGGTGACCCATTAAAGGCTGTGCAGACCTGAGACTAAAGACTCCTTGGTGCAGAAACAGAACAGCACAATTGCTTCAGGTGAGAATCAGCTACTCTTTGTCAAGAGAAGCGTACAGTACATGTACTGCACTGTCTATATTTGGGTGCCTAGTGTAGAGTATACAATTTCATGGGTGTTAAAATCATACAGGTAGATTTTTTTTTATTTGGGGTAGCTATTGAGCCAGGTCGAACAGCAAAAAAGCTCCATGTTGGTGCGTGATGTTTAGGTTCCTCAGGATGTGCTCTCTGTATACATGTTGTAGGGGTATCGAGAGATTAATGTTGTCTAGCACTCAGGATGGAAGGAAACTCTAATGGTGGTTTTCTTGTATAATATAAGTTATATGATAGACAGTCTGGTGCTGGAGGTGCTTGTTCAGGAAGATGGGCAGAATGAGAGTTGGTTGGTGAGGAAGCTCAGAGAAGGACAGCTGGTGGGTCGCCATGCTCGCTGGCGGGAGCGAGGGCCGCCAGGCGAAGCGGAGGAGGTGTTGCTTGTTCGAAGAATGGTCAGAATGGATCTCGATGATGATATTGATGAAGGACAGCTGGTGGTCGCCATCTCGCTGAAAGCCGGGAGCGAGGACCGCCAGGCAGCGGCGGAGGAGGAGGTGTTGCTCGTTCAAGAAGAATGGTCAGAATGAATCTCAATGGAGAGACAGAGCTTATATACCCAGCAGCAGCCGCCAGTCCTCTATGAATCATGTTGGGAAAACCCAGAAAGTTGCCGGTGAGTAGTTTCGTTGCTAGGCAACCGTACCATCTGGGGACAGCTCTCGCTTGGTTGCTAGGAGACTGCACGTCGGAATGCGTGGAGGTGCCGTGTGGTGGCTGTGGCTACGCAGTTGTAGGCAGTTGTAGGGGAGACGTCCACTACAATGTTGTATTGGATGTACAATGCGGCTTGGTGCTGGGAAGGCAGCGTGGTTACAAGCGTGATGTAGAGAGAGCTGGTTGGTGAGGGTGCTCAGAGGAGGACCAGCCTGTGGGTCGCCATGCTCGCCGGCGGGAGCGAGGACCACCAGCCAGGCGGAGGAGGAGAAGGTGTTACTGGCTGGTTGGTGGAGGTATTAAGAGAGAGATGACCACGAGGTCAGGTCTTAAATAGCGGGGGTTGGCGTGGCTTAGTAGTTGACCTCCGCTCCGTGATGTATGGCGGCGCTGGTTGACCCAGACCACGAGGCACACACTGGGGAATTCGTGGGGTCGGCTACTCAGCGACAAACAGTTTGTTGGGGAGAAATCCACTACTAGCACGTCACCTGGTAATAAAGCCTACAGTTACATACAGTTTATTGTTTTATCGACCTTGAAGTCAGATCAGTTAAGTTAGATAAGATTATGGAAACCCCAGATTAGGTTAGGCAAAGGCCATTGTAGTGGCTCTGTGGGGGAACGGGTTGTTTATGTTCACCTCAGGATGGGATGAAAACTCACAATGTGCTCTCTGTATATATTGTATTGGATGTACAATGCAGCGTGGTGCTGGGGGGTGGCAGCGTGAGTCCAAGCGTGGTGTAGGGAGAGCTGGTTGATGAGGGTGCTCAGAGGAGGACAGGCAGCTTGTAGGGCGCCATGGTCACCGGCGGGAGCAAGGGCCACCAGGCAGGAGCGGAGGAGGAGGTGTTGCTTGCTGGTGGCTGTAGGTAGAAAGAGGTCACCACGGTCCAGGTCTTAAATAGCGGGGGTGAGCGTGGCTGTCAGGTTCATTTGCTCCGTGAGCGACATGGTTGACTAGACCACACAGGCATACCTGTGGAATTCCGCGGGGTCCATGCTCAGCGACAAGCAGCGTTTATGGGGAGAAAATCCACTCCCAGCTGAGCTACATTATGGCGCCTACCAATAATCAGCGTGCAGCCATGAACAGACATGAAATGCTAGTGACAGGGGGGAAGGAGGTTCAGGGGAAGAATAAAGGGAGGATTGAAGTGAATTTTAGGAGGAGAGAATAGGTGCAGTGGCTAAACACCGCTTGCGTGAGGGAGTATAAAATGGAGGCAGCAGCAACTCGCCCGGACGCGGCCAGGAGGCGGCAGGACAGAGTCAGGCTAGCGTCAGGTCAAGCGTCAGGTGCGTGTTGGGTTGGGCCATGGATTCTCAGTGCTTGGTCGGCTTGATTGTGTGTGTTGTTTTCTTGTGTGGAGGAAATGTCTTGGTCTTCTTCTTAGCTTGATGTAGATTTTCTTCTAACTTTCCTCCTCTTCTTGCTCTCTTGAAGTGTCCATTCATTCGTGTTTGGGTCTTGTTGTTCGTCTTCCTCGTGTCTTATGTCCTCATAGGTGTGGAAGAAGTCGGAGACGGTGAGGTTGGCCACGTGGGCTTCAGCTCCACGGGCCTCGTGGTGTTCTTGATTCTGTGTGGCGGGTGTCTTTTCTTGAGTTTTCTTTTCTTGGGTTTTCTTTTCTTGGTTTTTCTTTTCTACTGGTTTTTTCTTGTCTTGGGAGCGTACAGCAAGGAGGGCCTCTTTGTAGCTCAGTTTCTTGTCGAGTCGAGCCTTGGCTATCCTGCATTCCTCCTTCCATTTCGGGCAGGTCCGATTGGCGGAGGAATGTGGGCCGCCACAGGCAGCGCATTTTTTTTACTGTGTTGGGGCAGACAGTGTAGCGGTGTCCGGGGCTGCCGCACAGGGAGCAGGTGTCCTCCTGCGCCTCACCCTTGTTGACAGTGTGTCCGTAGTGCTGGCATTTGTAACAGCGTTTCGGTCTGCAGTAGGGCTTGACTGGCACAGTTACCCACGCCAGTTGAGCCTCCTTGGGTAAGGTTGTATGGTGTCCGATGAGGGCAGTGGTGTCGGACAGCTTCTTCACAACTTGAAGTTGCCCCTTGAGGAGCTCACTCAGCTCTGCTTGGTCCACGTGGGCAATTTCGGCGTGGGAGATTACTCCCAGCTTCAGGTTGTCCCACTTGTAGGCAATCATTTTAAATGGAATGCCGTTGATGTCTGGGATCTCCGCGAGCTGTACGGGCATACCCTTCTCGGCGAAGGTGATCTTGATGTCACCATGGAGCTTCAGTCGTTCCACCTTGGTGACCCCCACGATCTCATTAGTTTCAAAGAACTTCTTGAGAACTAGGAGGTTTAATTTCTTGGGGCAGGTCGGCGTATCCGGACGTATCCGCGCCACGTTATCAAACATGGTGAGAGAGGGTTAGAGAGTGTGACGTAGTACAGTGAATCGAATCGAAAATGCTAGTGACAGGGGGGAAGGAGGTTCAGGGGAAGAATAAAGTGAGGATTGAAGTGAATTTTAGGAGGAGAGAACAGATGCAGTGGCTAAACACCGCTTGCGTGAGGGATTATAAGATGGAGGCAGCAGCAGCAACTCGCCTGGACGCGGCCGGGAGGCGACAAGACAAAGCCAGGCTAGCGTCAGGTCAAGCGTCAGGTGCGTGTTGGGTTGGGCAATGGATGTTCAGTGCTTGGTCGGCTTGATTGTGTTTTTGGTTTCTTGTGTGGAGGAGATGTCTTGGTCTTCTTAGCTTGATGTCGATTTTCTTCTCACTCTCCTCCTCTTCTTGCTCTCTTGAAGTGTCCATTCGTTTGTGTTTGGGTCTTGTTGTTCGTCTTCCTTGTGTATTAAGTCCTCATAGGTGTGGAAGAAGTCAGAGACAGTGAGGTTGACCACGTGGGCTTCAGCTCCACGGGCCACGTGGTGTTCTTGGTTCTGTGTGGTGGGCGTCTTCTCTTGAGTTTTCTTTTCTTGGTTTTTCTTTTCTGCTGGTTTTTTCTTTTCTTGGGAGCGTACAGCAAGGAGGGCCTCTTTGTAGCTCAGTTTTTCTCAAGACGAGCCTTGGCTACCCTGCATTCCTCCTTCCATTTGGGGCAGGTCCGGTCGGCGGAGGAGTGTGGGCCACCACAAGCAGCGCATTTTTTCTCTTTGTTGGGGCAGACCGTGTAGCGGTGTCCAGGGCTGCCACACATGGAGCAGGTGTCCTCCTGCGCCTCACACTTGTTTACAGTGTGTCCATAGTGCTGGCATTTGTAACACCGTTTCGGTCTGCAGTAGGGCTTGACTGGCACAGTTACCCACGCCAGTTGAGCTTCCTTGGGTAGGGTGGAGTGGTGTCCGATGAGGGCAGTGGTGTCGGACAGCTTCTTCACAACTTGGAGCTGCTGCTCCTTGAGGAGCTCACTCAGCTCTGCTTTGTCCATGTGGGCAATTTCGGCGTGGGAGATTACACCCAGCTTCAAGTTGTCCCACATGAAGGCAAACATTTTAAAAGGAATGCCGTTGATGTCTGGGATCTCCGCGAGTTGAGCGAGCATGCCCTTCTCGGCGAAGGTGATCTTGATGTCACCATGGAGCTTTAGACGCTCCACCTTGGTGACCCCCACGATCCCATTAGCTTCGAAAAACTTCTGGAGAACTAGGAGGTTTAGTTTCTTGGGGCAGGTCGGCGTGTCCGGACGTATCCGCGCCACGTTAACAAACTCGTATCCGTT